ATGGTGTCGGTGCTGCCTATAAGGCGATCTGACCCACCTGTTCATATTTTAAACATTTACTGTCCCCCAAAGCTTAAGAACGTCACGTTCAGCGAAACTTTCACACAAGCTATGCAGGTGGCAGGACGGGACCCCCTCCTGATTGTCGGCGACTTCAATGCCCCAAGCAGGTTATGGGGTTACCCACGAGAGGACACGCGTGGAAGGAAGCTTGCGGAACTTCTTTCTACACTTGGACTCACCCTCCACACTGATCCCGCCAGCCCAACACGTGTAGGCAACTCTGTTCAACGAGATACTTGCCCGGACCTCACAATTACACGCAACATACACCATGCCGACTGGCTGAACACACAGGACACTCTCGGTAGTGATCATTGTGTATTAAACACAACTGTGTACATGCGTCCCTTAAAACGCCCACTTACACAAGCTCGTATCCCAGACTGGACAACTTTCCGCACCACTCTATCTATTGTAGACCCTCTCCAGTCGGGATACGACACCTGGTCTAAATCACTGACGTCTACACTGAAACAACACGAACAGCTGATACAGCTCACGGAAACTCAAACGGACGTGGACAACCACCTCCAGGCCCGCCGCAGCCTCACCAAACGATGGAAAAAACAGAAACATAACAGACGCCTCAAGAAACGCATCCTAGAACTCACGGAGCAAGCTGCGGAATATGCTGTTCAGCTAGCCGACACTAACTGGGTGGACAGGTGCAACACGGCTGCACGCCAGATGTCTGGTCGCAACACGTGGCGCCTTTTTCGCGCTCTCATCGATCCAACACAAACACGCACGGAAACTCAACGTCACTTACATAAGGTCATGCACAACTTTACAGGAACGACAACACAGCTGGCAAACACGCTCAGGGACCGATACCTGTGCACCACCAAGGACCCCCGGACGGCCGCATACTCCTACGCAGGCAAAAAGAACACGCAGTTGGACACCCCGTTCCAGCTCCACGACCTCCAGGCGGCCTTACGCAAGATGAAGCGTGGCACTGCACCAGGGCGTGACCAGGTTACGGTCAAACTGTTGGCCAATCTTCCCGACGCAGCCTACGCCACGCTCCTCAAATACACCAATAGCATTTGGGACGGAGAAACTCCTCTTCCTCTTGAATGGAAATCAGCTCTCGTGACCTTCATCCCGAAGGCAGGTAAACCTATTGACGTGGAGAACCTTCACCCCATCTCCCTCACGTCTTGTGTCGGCAAGCTGATGGAAACGATGGTGCGCGAGAGACTCTCCGAGTTTCTAGAAACACAACACACTTTTGCGGACACCATGTTTGGATTCCGCCCTCAGAAGTCAGCCCAGGATATACTTCTACAGCTCCACCATGACATATTAGATCCTGTTGAATGCCCCCACAATGACAAGGTAGTCCTGGCCTTGGATCTTAAAGGGGCATTCGACAACGTGAAGCATGAGGTAATCCTTGACCACCTCAGTCAGACCAACTGTGGTTATAAAACATTCAATTATGTTAGACAGTTTCTTACAGACCGTCGAGCCTACATACGCATACAAGATGAGGAACATGGGCCTTACGTCATCAGCTCGAGGGGAACTCCTCAAGGCGCGGTCCTCTCTCCCCTCCTATTTAATATAGCCATGCTTCATCTTCCCCCCAAATTGGCTTCTTTACCAGGGATACATCACGCTCTTTACGCGGATGATATCACGATCTGGGCCACGCAAGGTAACCTGGGTCACATGGAGTCATGCCTGCAAGCAGCAGCGACTGTATTCGACGACTACGCAACCTACTGCGGACTCCAGTGTGCCCCGGCTAAGTCAGAATTTGTGCACGTACGTCCCTCCCCTCAGGACACAACTCAGCTCCATATCAGTCTTCCCTCGGGACCGATCCATGAGGCCAAGGAGATCCGCGTCCTTGGCCTCTTCATACACCACCAACGCAAGGCCGACACCACAATAGCCAAACTTCGCACGGTGGGAGACCAGGTGGGCCGTATGGTCCGCCGGGTCTCCAACAAGCAGGGCGGATTACGAAGCAGGGATGCAATGCGGCTTGCCCATGCTTTCGTAACGAGTAGAATACTCTACTCGACTCCCTACTTGCACCTACGCAAACACGAGGAGGATCAACTCGAGGTCATCCACGTAAAGTTATCAAGCGGGCTCTCGACCTCCCTATCACCACGTCCAACCAGAGACTTCTGGCCCTAGGCGTGGTGAATACCTACCGGGAACTTCGAGAAGCCCACCTCGTTAACCAATACACGCGCCTTGCACAGACCCATTCCGGTCGCCGCCTCTTGGACCGAATACACATCAAACACGATTACTATATTGAGGAAAGGGTGAGAGTGCCAGAACCTTGGAGACGCGCCCTCCGGGTCCGACCCCTTCCCCGCAACATGTCCAAAGAAAACCACAGTGGTCGCCGCCAGGCGCGCGCGGAAGCGTTGCAGCGACACTTTGGTCAAGAAGAACACGTGTGCTACGTGGACGTTGCCGGCCCGCACCATGGGGGTTGGTATACTGCCGCAGTCATACACAACGCAAACACCGTAAACGGGCTCACTTTCAAAGCCTACAGCGCAACACACGCGGAGGAGGTTGCCATCGCTCTGGCTCTCACCTATCCCTCTTCTAAACATATCATCACCGACTCACGAGGGGGCCTGTCGGAACTATCAGCTAGGGTGGGCTTCACCGCTTGCTCAGCGCATACTGGAACCTAGCTGCCGGTACGTTAATCCAACTCCGCGAAATCTGGTTTGGCACCCGGTCACCAAGGACTCAGGGGTAACGAACAGGCCGATCAGGCCGCCCGCGCACTCTCTTCCCGGGCTATCTCCCTGTCTTTGGAAGCCTACTCGCAATCAGACAATTCGGCCCTTTCATTCAAAGATATTACCAATTACTACAAGGAGGAGCACCGGCGCTATCCAGACCCTTGTAAGGGACTGCATCGCGCTGACGAGCGCCTCCTTTTAAAACTGTTTACCAATACCGTACTGTGCCCGGCGGTGCTAAAACATTTCAATTCATCCTTTGATGGCACGTGCCAGTTCTGTGGTGAGGTGGCTGACACCTTTCACATCGTCTGGGCGTGCCAGTCTAATCCATCTATCCCCCCCAACCCCAATCCCACGAAAGAGGACTGGGAGGCGGCCCTGCTCGGCTGTCAAGACCTGAAGGCCCAAGAGGCTCTGGTTCAACGTGCGCGGGCGGCGTTGCTTGCCAATGGAGCCCCGGAATAGGGGTTCCACCTAGTGCTGTGAGGGTAGGAGGCCAATAAGGCCCCAACCCAATCACCTCTCTGTAACCATTTAATGGTTATTAAATGTTTTCACCCCCCCCCCTTATGAATTCTGCCACACCAACTGACAAGCCAAACGCGCCAAGCTAAACGCGCCATGCAACGCTGGCTGCCCGTGTCACCACACCACGCGCTGGAAAAAGAACGCTGGCGGTTTTTAGAGGAGCAGCTCGAGGCGAGATGCAAGAGAAGTTGACGAGGTTTTCACTAGTGAGCTCACAACCTTTGTGTATTTAGTTGACGGGCACAAGTTCGCCATTAATAAATAGCTGTTTTAGCTTTCGGCGCTGTATTTGTTCGCAACAATATCATCATATTGAATCCTAATTGCATCTACAGTGTTGAGTACAAGTATTTCCCAAAGGTTAACACATAATTGGCCCAAAAGTTTCTGTCTAAAAATTACTTGAGAGCACCGTAATTTAGACCATGGTTGAAAAATGAGGCCTGCTGGTTGATGAACACATACTGTGACCTCCTACGAGGTGATGCATAGATTTTTAAGAATGTTCGTATTGTTAGAATATAAAATCTTTTGATAAGAGAAGGCAGGCTGGATTCTTCTTACAGGACACTGATCGCAACATATTTAGGTAGCCCTGGGCATAAGCGTAATGATTCGCGCTCTAACAGAATCAGTGATATTTTTAGCTTCGGCGTCTACCTCTTCATTTCCCACCATGCCTCAATGCGCTGGAATCCTCTGGAAAGTGATAATATGGCCATTTGTTGAAGCAACCTGAATAAGTTCTGCGATTTCTATTGCCAAGGTGTAGTAACCTCATGATGCAATAATGGTTTGCAAGGGGAAATCGGCAACACATAAAATCGTCCAGTCTCGAGGTCGCTCTCCGGAAATAAATCTTATTGCCTTCCGGATTGCGACAAGCTCTGTGGCACTTGATGGGGTTTTATGGTCCACTTTGAGTCGTCGAGCGATATCCATGTCTGGGATGAAAGGCTGCGGCGGAGGTGTTTAGTGTAGTGGACCCGTCGGTGTACACGTGCAGAGAATCACCGTACGTTGTGTAAATGGGATGTAGGGTCAGTTGTCTGAGGCCAACAGAAGAAACAAGTGATTTCTTCGTAATTCCGGGTATCGTAAGACAAACAGGGGCTTTTGCCAGGACCCATGGAGGCACTGCAGGAACATTCGGTGGGGAAAACCTTGATGGTAGAATATTCTCATGCCGCGATATCACTCTTGAGAAACTGCACTCTGGGGGAGTGGCGGGTAATACTGAGAGTGGGTACTGTCTTGTGTCGGCTCAGCAAACGAAGGTGGACTCTAAATGGCTCGTAGAGCATGTATACAGCAATGGGACAAGCCCGAGTCACTGCGATGGTCCCATGTGTTGAAGTACAGCGCGATAGACACAAGCATCTTCGTAAGTATTGAGCTTACTTACTTAATACTGCTTCCTTACTTAATACTGCTTACACCTTACACCTTACTTAATACACCGTACTTAATACTGCTTCAGTTGTGTTCTAATGACCATCAACGGGTGGAATACGTTACCAGCAGATATGGTTAGATGACAGATGTATGGAACATTTAACGATACCCTGTCTGCCCACAATATTATTTGCAATGGAGTTCAAATATATACCAATAGTACAAGGACTTGTCTTATACATGCGCCAAAATTAATACTTTCTGCGTTTCACCCCTCTTTACTAGCTGCAAGAGGTGCTGCCATGGCCGTCCTTTTGGCGGCATTCATGTTCATGCCATTGGACTGGCAATGGATCACCACAGCCCTGGTCTTTGTCGTCACGTGGTTCGTGAGCCGCTTCTACCAGCGAGTGCTCAGGTACCCGAGAGGACCATTCCCAGTGCCACTGTTGGGAAACTTACTCGGTTAGTTTCATCGCGACGTACAAGAACCGCGCTCACGCTGGCCACCTTACTTTTCTTTTCAGCTATGCGGAAAGACGACTTGCACGCCAAGGCGATCGAGTGGTCCAAGACGTATGGTGACGTCTTTACGCTGTGGATTTCACACAAACCCATGGTGATCCTCAACAGCTATGACGTCATTCGGGAAGCACTCGTCAAGCAGAAGAATCTCTTCGCGGGACGTCCTGATACAAAAATGCGTGTGTAGAAGACTGCCCCAGTTTCAGTTTATTGCACCTAATGAGAAGAGCCGGCTTTTATTTACACAAATGCGGAACGAGGTCTCTGAGTCGGCAGACTCGGGGACCTCCCGCTGACAGTATGACCTGCCTCTGACAGAGATGATAAATTCTTCAACGGAGGAGATCGTTAGCACCAATGTTTCAGCAATAGTTTGGTCTTATTCAAGGCAAGCCCTTGCCTTGAAGGTGACATGGCTACCTGTCAATACCTCAGCTTTCGCAGCACCTTTTGTTCAATAAGTTCCCATCTCTTCAAGCATCAATCTCCTCTCGAACTTGAGGCTTATTTGGACTTCCTCTCTTAGAGTGACACCCGTTAGTCTCATCCGTTAAAGGGACCTACCACTAGTATTGACAGCAAAGCGTAATGAGCAATCGCTAGAGAAAACTAGAAGGTGTTTACATCTTGTGAGAAGCTTGTACCACATCTAAGTAACTAATTTCATTCGAATCGCCAACTAACTTTAAGAGTATACCTTTCAATAGCACAGTTGAAGAATTCACCAAATCGGTTGTCAGTGGAATGTTTACCAAGAGTGAAACAGTTCACAAAAGCTTCATTTAAATATAACTTCTATAAGCTTCAGGAAGCCGAAGAAACTACCGCATTGTATATAGCAAGGTTTTCACGTTGGTAGTCTTTTAGTTGTCAATATTTTTAAAGCGTTTCTAAGAAAGTCACTGCATATGCATATTGGACATATTGAACACGTGCGTTGGATCTAAAGGAATTCTGACTGTTTTGATTTACTCTTTCAGGCGACATACAAAACCAAGGAAATCATGATATAATGTTCGAAGATTACACGCCATACTGGGAGGCTCTCCGAAAAGCGGCATTCCTGGCCGTTCGGTGAGTGAACCGTAGCGTATCACCACTAAAGAAATCGCGGTGTATCCATAGTCCTCCATGCGCAAATGTGCGAACTTTGATATTATAGCAGGTTTGGTTAAGTGGTTCTTGAAAGTGAAATACTAGCTCTATGTTATTTTCCTACCGCCAGTATTCAACAGAAAGGCACTCATCCATATGCATCAATCCCAATGTCATTATGCGACGAAAACTTTATGACTAGATATGCATCCTTCATTGAGATACCTTGAATTTTAGGTAATGTTCAGATGTTTCAGTTATATTTACCTTCTGTAAGTGGATATATTGTTACGTGATTTCGTTTGACTGAAAGAGGGCATAGTGGGGCATACCCAAGGAGGTGCCTCAGACTGAGAGAAAAGAAGTGGACGTTGTCAGTATTCATTTGATTGTGACCGGGTGAGATAAGCTCGATTGTCTGGTCTACTCAAAATTTCTGTCTTCCACTGTAGTATTACCTCACCTTTTCTCTTCTTGATTCAATCTTCAATTATTTGTTTAGTTTAATATTCCTTTTTAGTTAATTATTATTTTCTATTACATCATTAGTTTTTTCATTAAGGATAAACCTTTTAATATATCTCATATAGGATACTTCTAGATTTCATGGCCAATCCCCCATAGTGGGTATGTGCCAGTGCGAAGGGGCAACAACAACAACAACAACAGTGAGCTGCGTTGTGGCTGCGGACCGACAACTGTTATTTTCCACGTAACATTTTGGTGGAAGTGCTGGGTGCTCTTCTGACAACGGAGCTACGCAGTGGACGCCTCCTTAAGTCTGCTACCATGGCTCCGGGTGAGGATACGGCTTCGCCACCTACCTCAGCAACGACAGCAACCCGGTACGTCACCCTAACGCAACCTCGTGATCCCGGTACCTTTACTGGAGAGGACAACGTGAATGTGTACAAGTGGCTTAGCATGTACGAGCGCATCAGCAAGCAATATGGCTGGGACCCAACCGTTATGCTTGCGAATGTCATTTTCTATCTTGACAAGACCCCTCGCACCTGGTTTGAGACCCACGAGCACGAAATCACAAGCTGGGAAATGTTTAAGCAACAGCTCCGCGACCTTTTTGGCAACCCGTTTGGTCAACAACTTGATGCCCGAAAGCAATTGGCTGTCCGTACACAGACGTCCACTGAGCCCTACTTGACTTATATTCAAGACGTCTTAGCGTTGTGTCAAAGGGCCGATCCCAACATGACTGAGGCCGACAAGATTTCGCACGTGTTAAAAGGAATCGCCGACGATGCGTTCAGTCTGCTTGTATTCACCAACGTAACGACCATGGACGCCGTGATCAAAGAGTGCCGCCGTCTCGAGCAGGCGAAGAGTCGACGCATTTTGCAGCAGTTTCAGCGCCTACCCAACACCGCGGCAACGTCGTCTTGCGAAGCCACTCCTTGTCATCCGTCTACAACCGAAGACGTGACGCGCATCGTCCGACGTGAACTCGAGGCCGCTTATCCGGCTGCCAACAAACTACCGACGTTGCCCGACGCCTCAACGCCAGCTGTTGCCTTGATCCAGGCTGTTGTCCGCCAGGAATTCGCAAACCTTGGTATCCTGTCCACTGCATCCACACTGGATAATACTGGTCCCTCGATAGCTTCTGTGGATATGAGACGTCGCCGTCCGTACTCTATTCAAACCAGGAACCCGTCTGAATGGCGAACAGCTGATGATAAGCCAATCTGCTTTCGCTGTGGTCGCGCAGGACACATCGCTCGTTACTGCCGCAGTCAATGGCCATCTATGTCTTCTGGCTCGTACCCCGCTTACAGTAGCTCATTCCGTCCACCAAACCACCGTTATCCGACCCGCACTCAGTCTACAGCATTTACTGCCCCTGAGGACTACGGCCACTTTGCCCCGTCGTCGCCACCGCCTCAAAGCCGCCCTTCTCGTTCAAACACGCGTCGCCGCTCTCCCTCGCCATCGTTCAACCGCCGCTCGTCCCCGGAAAACTAGGCTGCGCAGCTTCTGGAGGTGAAGCTGCCCTGTCGAACTTACCCAAAAATCCTCTGTTGCCCTTACGTTTGAACCGGAACACCCTAGAAGTATATGTTGATGGTACACCTGTTGAAGCTTTGATAGATACGGGCGCTCACGTCTGTATTATGAGTTCGCGTTTTCGTCGTCGCATGAAGAAGGTCCTCACGCCCCCCTTGACCAGTGTCGTCCAAGTTGCAGATGGTGCAAAAGTCCCTGTCGTCGGTATGTGCACAGCTCAACTTACCGTAGCCGGTCAGCAAGTGGTCGTCCTTTTTACCGTGCTTGAAACATGTCCCCACGACCTCATACTAGGCCTCGATTTTCTTGCCGCCAATTCTGCTCTGATTGATTGCTCCGCTGGTGTGCTCCGCCTTGAACTACCACAAATCAGTGCCGCCCCGTACCAACCTACATGCCGATTACAATGCAGCGATTTTGTTTGCCTGCCCTCGAAAACTGTGACGTACGTCGATTTTCTGTGCTCACCAGCTGTGCCCGACGGTGACTATTACGCTACGCCTCTCACCGACGTACTCCTTGCGCACAATGTTGCAGTGCCCTATACGGTGCTCAGCATCACAGATAACAAAACATGTCTACCTCTTGTCAATTTCGGCTACATGAATCATGTGCTTCCACAAGGCATTTCTGTGGCCCACCTGTGTCCGTTGCTCGATTCACAAATTGAAATGCTTGCCTTAGACACACTTGCTTCACCGCAGTGCACATCACTCGCAACACATTCGGGCAGCCGTCAAATTGTAAACATGATCGCCACTGATCTTCTGCCTCCGCAAGTTGAAGCCCTACAACATCGTCTCGAGGCCTACCAGGATATTTTCGATTTTGGCGACCAACCTCTTGGGCAGACGTCCTTTGTCCAGCATCGCATACACACAGGTGATGCCAACCCTGTTCACCGCCGTCCCTACAGAGTGTCTGCTTTTGAGCGGAGCATAATTCAGAAGGAGGTGAACAAGATGCTAGCGAAGGACATTATTGAACCATCCTCCAGTCCCTGGGCATCCCCGGTGGTATTAGTTAAAAAGAAAGACGGATCGTGGCGATTTTGTGTGGACTATCGCCACCTTAACAACATCACCAAGAAAGACGCATACCCTCTGCCCCGCATTGATGACGCCCTTGATTGCCTCCATGGTGCCGCCTACTTTTCTTCCATAGATCTTCGTTCTGGTTATTGGCAGATTGCCGTGGACCCCATGAACCGAGAGAAGACGGCTTTTGTAACACCCGATGGCCTCTACCAATTCAAAATCATGCCTTTCGGCTTATGTAATGCCCCCGCCACCTTTGAACGAGTGATGGACTCCCTGCTCCGTGGATTCAAGTGGTCTACGTGTCTTTGTTATCTGGATGACGTGATTGTGTTTGCTCCCACTTTTGAAGCGCACCTTGAGAGACTGTCAAAAATTCTTGATGTATTCCGTCTCGCCGGCCTTCAGCTGAATTCATCTAAGTGCCGGTTTGGTCGCCGTCGCATTACAATACTTGGACATATTGTTGACGCTTACGGTGTACAGCCTGACCCAGAAAAAGTTCGAGCTGTGAAGGACTTTCCTGTGCCGAAAACCTCCAAAGATGTCCGCAGCTTTGTGGGGCTCTGCTCCTATTTTCGGCGGTTCATCAAGAACTTCGCGGAAATCGCTCGGCCCCTAACAGATTTACTCAAACCGGATGAGACGTTTACCTGGGGTCCCTCGCAAGCAGCAGCATTTTCCGACCTGACCACTTGGCTCACTTCTTCTCCTGTGCTGGCTCACTTCGACCCTACGGCACCGACGGAAGTGCGCACCGATGCCAGCGGTTACGGAATAGGCGCTGTGTTGGCTCAGCGACAACGTGGGCAGCATCGCGTGATAGCTTATGCCAGCAGGCTGCTGTCCACCTCGGAGCGTAATTATTCCATCACAGAGCGCGAATGCCTAGCGCTGGTGTGGGCAGTCGCGAAATTTCGCCCTTACTTATACGGCCGACCATTTATAGTTCTTACCGACCACCACGCTCTCTGCTGGCTCGCCTCCCTCAAAGATCCCACAGGTCGTCTCGCCCGCTGGGCACTCCACCTCCAGGAGTATTCTTACACCGTAGTGTACAAATCAGGAAAACTGCACAAAGATGTGGATTGTCTGTCACGCTACCCTGTGGCCGACTGCGATTTTACGAGCACTGATTCTGTGGGCTGCGTCCTTTCCATCTCCCAGCTGCTTCATCTCGGGGACGAGCAGCGTCGCGATCCGGATATCAGCCGCCTAATACAACAGCTCGAATCTTCACCGCAAGACGCTTCCGTTCGCATGTTTACCTTAAAGGACCACACCTTATATCGGCGTAATTTATCACCCCATGGTCACGACCTACTTCTGGTCATACCAAAGCACCTGCGTTCTACAGTCCTACGCGAGCTCCATGACGCGCCAACCGCGGGTCACCTTGGTGTCTCTCGCACATATGACCGTGTGCGCCGCCGCTTCTACTGGCCTGGCCTTTCACGTTCTGTACGTGGCTATGTCAACGCTTGTGAAATTTGCCAGCGTCGCAAAAAGCCGTCGAGACTACCTTCCGGATATCTTCAGCCCATCGGCATCCCATCGGAGCCATTCTTCCGTGTTGGTTTGGACCTTCTCGGTCCCTTCCCAACATCCGCCTCCGGAAACAAGTGGGTCGCGGTGGCTACGGATTACGCGACCCGTTATGCAGTTACGCGAGCCATGCCAACAAGCTGTGCTACAGACGTCGCTGATTTTCTTCTACGCGATCTCATTTTAGTGTATGGAGCCCCTCGTCAACTGCTGACAGACCGAGGCCGTACGTTCCTTTCGAAGGTGGTTGACGATATCCTGCGTTCCTGCTCTACCCAACATAAGCTCACGACATCGTACCACCCCCAGACAAATGGGCTTACAGAACGTTTAAACCGCACCTTGACAGACATGCTATCAAAATACGTCTCGGCCGACCATCGTGATTGGGACCTTGCACTACCCTACGTGACGTTCGCATTCAATTCCTCCCGGCATGACATTGCCGGGTACTCGCCATTTTACCTTCTGTTTGGACGCGAACCAACATTGCCGTTAGATACCTTCCTGCCAGCCGCTGCGCAGTATACTTCTGAATATGCACGCGACGCTATTAACCGAGCCGACCATGCTCGTCAGCTTGCCCGCAGCAGGTTAATAGCATCCCAAGACTCGCAGAAGCATCGTTACGACGAGCGGCATCGCAACGAACACTTTCCAACAGGCTCCCTCGTTCTTCTTTGGTCCCCTACGCGACATGCAGGCCTGTCAGAAAAACTTCTCTCTCGTTTCACGGGCCCATACCGCGTGCTTAGACGAGTGACCGAAACTACGTATGAAATTGTCCCTGATAATCCATCAACCTCTTCCGCTCTGCTGTCAAGGGACATCGTCCACGTATCAAGGCTCAAGCGTTACCACACTGCTCCTGCTGTGGCCCGTAAACTCGCCGGGTCGGCGCTTTCGCCGCCGGGGGTCGTGTTACGTGATTTCGTCTGACTGAAAGAGGGCATAGTGGGGCATACCCAAGGAGGTGCCTCAGACTGAGAGAAAAGAAGTGGACGTTGTCAGTGAGCTGCGTTGTGGCTGCGGACCGACAACTGTTATTTTCCACGTTACAATATCTTTTTACTTAGTTTGCATTGATAGTTGTAAAAAAAAAAACTCGCCCTTACATGCGATGTACCCGGTGCACGTAAAAGGTTCAACTTCTCATAAACATCTTACAATTTTTTGTCAAATGATGTTATTGAAAACAACAGTTGAGACTTGAAGTTTTTTGCTTAATTCACAGGAAATACGCCGTCACAGACACTACTCAGAAGCTTTGTACTGGAATTGTTGACGCCTACGTAGACACCTTGAGGATAGGACCTCAGATAGTCGACTCGAAAAAGTTTTTCTTCTCCATGATTTACAAGCTGGTCGGGGCCTCTATGTATGGCGCAAGGTAAGCTGATTGATTTCAGAGTTTTTGATACGCTACTGGTGAATATATAATCAAAACTCTGGGTATTGAATAAATACTGCATCGGAACACTTAATGGAAGATATATCGGTGACTGGTCCTTCGTTGCTTTCTCACTAACGATACCACAATTAGCTACTTGCAATTTCCTAGGTCATTTATCTGTTTGCAAAGTAGTTCCAGACGCTCTGCGTTGATAATATGTGGCTTGTCAGTACAGATCATAGCAAAACCAAAAGATCTCCTATACCACTTCATGTGGAATGTACAGGCTATATGATCGGCGTGTTTACGGATTTAACCAGAATGTTACTAATCCGCTGTGCATGCGTGATTTTTTAGTGTTCGGCCAGGAATCATGTGATTGATGACCTGTCTTTGTTGGCGATTAACGCAAGATTGTTCGAACGTGCATTCGAAGCGTTTAAAACACGCGTGGTAAAAGGGGCTGAAGTCCCTACTAAAATTACTAAATAAAATTAAACTATCGTAAAGGATTTGGAGATGCACACTCTATCGTACAACAAACTACGGTCATGGTTGAATGTCAGCGCCAACTTAGTGCATCGAAGTGATGGTCTCGTGTCATATCCATGCGCTAAACAATATGGAAGAAATGACAAAGGCTTGAAGTAGTGAAAAGTTTTTAGACACGAGCCGACTTTCGCACATTAGGAGTTTACATGAGACAAATATTCTTGTCGAAACAGTGGCTCCAGTAACATTCCTTGCATCAAAGACTTATTATCTATAGCTGCAGAGCATCCCTGCTTTCAACCACTAAGGTCTTGAAAAAAGAACTCTGTTAGGTGAAAAGAACGTAGTGCGCGTTGCTTTCAGGATACCACAGTAGCCGCTAGAAATTCTTTGTTCACGAGATTTATTCAATCAATTGTGGCATACTTTGTAGCTTAAAATTATTCGCTTATTTATTCAAGTGCCAATGAGGCATAGTATGCCCCTCTAAGTGACATCTAACTACACTATTTATTCAACGTCCTAATTGCGTGCTTTTTTCCCGGAAGATAAAACAGCCAGCGTGATGGGGAGGAATTTGGCGCTTGCCACGAACCTTGGGAATCGATGTTATGTGAAGCATGTGGCTGAAAAGAGACTGTGTTAAAAAATTTTTATTGACCGAAATGTTACGAAGTGACGCTAGATATGTGTACAAATGCACGCACATTGAAGCATGCGTTAAGCGATCACAGTAAGTTTTACATAACCAGCTGAATATAGTAGCGTAACTATGCCAACAGCAAGGTAAGTATTAGCAACACCAGAAGTAGTAAGCTGATATAAACCACTTGTGCTCACGATGGTGGTATCCTGTACGCTGCTACTACAAACCAACTTCAGCGGATGGCGCTTAACTACAATTGACAGTAACCCGACTTGAAGGCTGTATCATATAATTACGTATACAACGTTTATACGTTTGGATAGCCAGGACCGCAGGCACAAATTATGTTTCATGACGGGTCTATATGATAAGCAGTTCTGAGACCTGGTGTAGCTCTGTGGTAGAATATTTGATTGCCCTCAGAATGCTGGGGCTCGATAACTGCTAGAACCCTGACGTTTATTCTTTCGAATCATCGGGTCAACGGTGTCAATGATTTGTGACTCATGCCCGTCAGTGGCTATGTGCTACACGTCTGGAGGAAAGGGTTTTATGAGCTTTGCGATGGGATAGTAAGATTATCCATATCAGGACCAGCGAGTCTTATTCATCCAACAATATTTCCCTTCCATACTAATTTTGGTTCACTCCAAGTTATGGAGGAGATCACGAGAACACCTAGACGTGAATAGATAGATAGATAGATAGATAGATAGATAGATAGATAGATAGATAGATAGATAGATAGATAGATAGATAGATAGATAGATAGATAGATAGATAGATAGATAGATAGATAGATAGATAGATAGATAGATAGATAGATAGATAGATAGATAGATAGATAGATAGATAGATAGATAGATAGATAGATAGATAGACAGGCAGGCAGGCAGGCAGGCAGGCAGACAAACAGACAGACAGACAGACAGACAGACAGACAGACAGACAGATAGACAGATAGATAGATAGATAGATAGATAGATAGATAGATAGATAGATAGATAGATAGATAGATAGATAGATAGATAGATAGATAGATAGATAGATAGATAGATAGATAGATAGATAGATAGATGCTCAAAATGGCTGTAGTACGCAAAGAAATGCTTCGCATTTGAACACCTGTGGCTACGCTCCCACTCGTGTAAGAAAGCAACGCTTTTAAATCAGTTTGCGGGACTGTTGTTCGCTTCCATAACATATACAATGGCACACGACGATCACCAACATGTGTTGCGATTATATAGGAATTTATTTCATCACAACCACTATCATTTTTAATACCTCAAGGCCGACAAATCTCTGCGATAACGCGACCGGGGCGCTGTTTTGACCACGGCTGTCCTGGAATGGCCAAATTGACTGCTTCAGCAGTGGAGTAGCAGACAACCCACTAGGGCGATATTATTTCTTCTTTCAGTATTGTTTTTTTATATTGCATACCTGATTAAACAGGTGTGGTTTAACATACCAAAACCGCCATATTATTTTGAGAGACGCCGCAGTGGAGGGCTCCGAAATTTCGACCACCTGGGATTCTTTACCACATGCCCAAATCTGAGCACACGGGCCTACAGCATTTTCGCCTCTAACGAAAATGCAGCTGCCGCAGCAGAGATTCGATATCGCAACCTGCCGGTCAGCAGCCGAGTACCTTATCCACTAGACCACCACGGTGGGGCTATACTGGCTACCTCACAGTGAGTCTGTTTGAAGGCGCTGCTTCTTCATGTGCGGTGCAGCTTTTCACGCGTCATATTGATATTTGTTGGGCCTTGTTCTTTATACGGAAATAAAATGAGCGCACAATTAGTGCGTTGCTTGGTAGATATTGTCACGAGAGGAAACGTGCACTCGAAGCGGACGACTGTTTACTCGTCGACAGCAGCCACATACTTGCACGCTCTCTGCTCCTGCTTCGAACACAGCATGGCATTACCCCATCACCTCCTCTCCCAAAAAAAGAAAAAGAACCATCGTATCAATTCAGTTGTTCAAAAAAAACTGTGAAAGGTAGCCAAAAATGTTTGTGTCCACCGCAAGGGCGAGATAAAAAGAAGCGAGAAAGAAATGTATAGCAGTCCTGAAGGCAAGTTCCACATCACAAAGTTCATGCCTTGCAGTCAACGCGAATGGTATGGCTTCATCCTGGAGACATAAACCATGCACATCAGAGGAGGGTGGTCTACGAGAACGGTGTGATCTGTCCGCTGGGAGAACTTTGTAGTTCACTTCACCGAGGCAATGAAGAACTCGGTAGGGTCGGAAGTACCAGCATAAGAATTTCTCAGAGCACCCACGTTAACATATGGGAGTCCAAATCCGGACTAGGTCATTCGCTTCGTATGTTAAAGCGCTGTGGTGTATGTTGTATCGGTGAGCAATATAGATAGAAACAACGTCATTGGCGGTATGAAGAATCCGTTGGATTGAGCTTACCGGTGTTTAAAAGTTGCCAGTATATATAGCTTGGCATGAGCGCCTCGGCGTGAAGACGGTGTTTGGTCGACGACAGGAGTGACTCCCACGCCTCGGGAAAGGATGCTGGAGGTATTATCTCTGTAGGTGCGTTTCCCTCACATTCCCAAAGTATTTGATTTCGGGCAACCGCAATGTCTGCAGTATGGGTCATTTTTCTCTAGGTGAGTTTTAGACAACTGGCAAGGGTTGGGAAAATAATCTTTTTGAATTGGCCACGTCGGATAACCCGCTTCGTTTTGACATCTGTATGCTTGGTAGTAGATCCCCTAGAATATGATTGTACTGTGCAGTCTCAACGGAGAAGACAGGGACGTTCTTCGGCTGGAAGAGATCGACAACGAGTACTACGAGGTTTCCCCGAACGGCCTACCCAGCGACGTTGCTCCAATTCTCGGTTACGTGTATCGTAATAGGGAGACCAAGATCGAGGCACTGTACACCGAGTTCCGAGAGGTTGTACTACGGCTGTTCACCAGGGCCGAAGGATCACACCACGCAGGTATCTGGAGTTTCCTGCGCGTTTTCCCTGTAGCAAACACTAGTTTGTTATTCTTTCCGCCTTACGCGTCCATGACAGTTCTACGCTTGTCCTTTGCTGTGTGTCCTCTTGCCATGCCAAGTACCTAATATGCGCTCTGCAGTTTACCATTATGAACCAACAACCCAGGACTGAATTCTATTGAGGTTTAATCCTTAACCAGACATTATTTGCTTTCTGTCTCGGCTGGTCCTACGTGAATGCGACGATAGGTTCGGGTAGTATTTCATTTATACGTGCTATCGCTCTCCACACCACGGCTACGAAACGTACTAGTATTTTGAATTCCCTTCATGTCGCCCCCCTTAATACACACGGCCTACTTGCAGAAAGTTTGTGCAGAATGGCAAGCTTTAGCTGTAAAAAAAAAGAACGGACGGTTGTACGAGGAAGGTACCCAGTACAATTTATTGTATCTTACTCAATATGACATAACGCAGTAATTTTCTCACGCTTCATACTCCACGGCGGCCACCGTATGTGTCATGTTCTGATAGAGAAACGATGGCACGCAATGTCGGAAACTGCAGGAGATTATTCAGTACTTTATTGACCCAAAGGACCGCAGAGAGAGCATTTTATTAGGTAACGTCAGGTTTGTTGCGTAGCACTTTCCGAATGATGATCTCGTTTTCAACACTGAAGTGCAGCAAAACATGCCGAGGTTTTGTCACTGCATTAAATAGGCATCAAAAATAATTTGATAATTTATGGGCCCTGTAATAATTATCATTGCGTACAACATTACACACTGCATTTGACGCCTGCTTTAAAAAAAAACAATAGGAAAGTGTTCGCAGTTCTGTATTGACTTTTTCTGCACTACTGCACTTTTGTCCAACCTGAGTTTTATTCAATAAACCAACTCTCGCAACACTAATCAATGCCGTCGTGGGAAAGCCGTGAAGTCAGCTGGGAACCCTGCCCCATATTTCGCTCTTTACACTCTAACCTCTACAATATCGGTTGCATGCAGGCCGTCTGTAGTCTTACTTTAGAGAAAACTTTTGCTGCAACTTCGTTCTGTTGGACATCTGCGTGTTTTAAAGCTACTTCAACCATACCAATAACAGAAGGTTTCCAATCTAGGCACACTTACAAGCGAAGTGCGTTCTTCTGTGTGCTCTAACTGGTGTAGCTATTAGAAATAATGTGTAGTCTGTTGACAACGGCTTTTCTTTTTTTTCCTCTTTTAGTCATGTCGCTTTGCAGCACAGCAAGACTACGAAGTGACTTTAGGTTATATGCGATCTACTGTTTTTCCTCAGGTAGCGACGACAACATCGTGCATGCTTTGCTTGCTGTCCGGGAGGAGGCCATCCGTGAGAAGGAAAGCAACGCCCAATACATAACGAAGGCCAACTTGGTCCAGGTCGTCATGAATTTGTTTGGCGGTAAGATGCTCTTATGTTAGCGCCTGTTGTTGCTTTTCGACTCGCATACAATGCATTCCACGTGGCGACGACATTCTTGATTCAATACATCTATTCTGATCACGCATTTCACCCCGGCTGTCTGACACCGCCGCCGGAGTTCATAGTGTCCATTTCTCCGAGTGACGAAAACTTCATTCTTCAAGATAAAAGGCGCCGGCAAATCTGGTAAAAACCGCAAGACGTGCAGCGGTATTATGTATATCTAGTTTATGCGTCACGAAGGACTTTCTTCTGTTATCAGGAGCTATTGAAGTCACGTGAGTATACTTTGGAGCTGCATTCAAATGACGGAAGAAATCGCGCGTAGAGCCTGCGGATTGCCTACTACGTTATCACACGTCAGCCGTTCCCGCGTTTTCGCTTCAGTCCACGCGGATAAATTCGTGAAACAGCAGAAGCCCTAATCAATGTTCGTATCTTCAGCGTGCAGTGCCGGAATCCTCACTTGTAGCATGAATTCTCCCCCGTCGTGCGAATGCTGGCTCCTGAAGGATTCGAATGACGTCACAAGTCACGTGGCCGATCCGTCCGTGATCACGTCTGTCGTGAAAATACAGCTGAACAGAAAAAGGAAAGCGCACCCATTTCAATTTCGGAGATTCTTGACTTGCCACTTATGTGTATATCTTTAGAGACCCACAAGCTTTGTGTTGGGATCCAGAACTCTCCAACGAAAGCATAATTATCTCCTTAGGAGTTTACGTGTTTCTATAAAAAGAATTCGTAAACAGATCTGCTGGAGCTGACGTTCAGAGAAGCGGACTTGTCTTCTTCACGGCTGCAACCACTTTCCCTGGAAATCACTTTTGCAACTGCTTTGGAAAGCAGTTTTGCAGCTTTGTTGAAAAGATATTTCAGAGCGAAAGCTGTACATGGCTAGGAAAAACGAAAAACCATCCGGTCGCAGTGTCATGAGCACTCTCCATTGGCTGTGTTATGAGTTAAGTCGTGCGCAGCGTCGTACCCAGGCACTCGCGCCGCTGGCTAAGTTGTGAGTTAGCTCGCGATGTCAAACGCTTGCAACAAAGTGACGTTGCGGCGTTGAGGGGACGATTGCGGGATCGAGTTCGCCGGCGGGAGTTTCTCTGCAGCGGCACTTAGGCATCGGCTGTGATGGCTGTGACCGCCTGTGGTTCCAGAACAACCGCTATGATTAACGCGTTGCGAAACGCATTTACCCGCTCATTACCCTTTTCTATGACCGTGGTCGTACGAGGCAGAATGTGCGGCATGCGAAATAAACACTGGGATAGGCCCAAGGCAAACGTGCGTCAAATCTCATTAAGAAGCACGAGCATGTAACCAAACACATTGAAAGGCTTCAGTGCAGCATCGGGTGGAGCCCACTGCCAATCACCAGGGCCGAACGCTTCAACTATCGCTGGTTAACAACTTGTACGGAGTGCTTGAATGGTGATTTTTTTTTCAACTCTAAGTACATTTTTGTGTTCTTCGAGTGCGGAAACTTGTTTTCTTTATCCGCGTACTTGTACTTCGACTCTTGATTTACATCTTCACCTGTCATGCCGACATACTTTTGAATTAAACAACCTCCTTGAGGCTACAAAGAACACGTCTTTTCTCTTAGGTGCAACCGACACCACAGCGTCAGCACTTCAGTGGATGTTCATCAGGCTTGCTAAGCACCCTGACATTCAGAAGAGGATTCAAAAGGAGATAAAGGATAATATCGGTAAGGACATCTCTGTGACAATTTAAAAATATTTAATAATAAGCTATTATAAGATTAAATTATGTCGGGTAAAATGTTTAAGGACCCGTTTAGCAAGATGTGCACCACTTTCATTTCGTTGTACTTCAAAGGTACCGAGGTGCTATTCATAATTCCAACTGAGCACTCGCCACCTAGTGGCCGCGCCTAGAAACGAACTTTGAAAAGGTATATGTTGCCACAATGAGTGAGTTGAGAAGCGGTCACACAGTTCCTTTACTTTAGCCATGCGACGCGCGCGAGCCCCTAAAAAATTGGCCCCGTATCTGAATTTATTATGCAAATGTCGTCGAAATACGATAGTCTTGCACGTGGAGAGAGTGTACAAAACATTTAGTTGATGTTCTGCTCAAGAAAATCGGTGAATGGTATTCTGGAGGTGCTGCGTTACAGTGCCTCGAGCGTGCAGCGGAAGCGAACGAGCGCATCAAGTCACGTCACACGTGAGACATGGCCGCCATCTGGCAGTGTTTTTCAAAAACGAAGCGCATGGCTCTGAGACGGGTGTGCGCGCCCGCCTAAAAGGTGATAAGGTGTAGAACGCAAGGCGACCGGTAGGTGCCACCACCGTCTCGTTTTAACAAAGCGTTGGAAACACTCGCCTTTCCGTGCAAGCATTGGATGGTCAGCGCAGCGTGGTAAGCGCTACGGTCCTTCAAATTACTTATGTATGCCTTTTCTGAAAAAAGGCACACATGCATAACATATACGTGTTGTTATGGTGCTCCATATACGCGCAATAATTGCTTTTTAATCGACAATTGCACAAGTATGGACGCTGAATCTTGAGCAACATACGTGGGCGCTGCGAATGGGGTCGACTGTTTCGAATACCCGACGCCCAGACACGCGCAATAATTGCTTTTTAATCGACAATTGCACAAGTATGGACGCAGAATCTTGAGCAACATAGGTGGGCGCTGCGGATGGGGTTAGCCGTTTCAAATACCCGATGCTGTTAACAGTGAACAGACAGGCAGACAGACAGACAGACAGACAGACAGACAGACAGACAGACAGACACAGACAGACAGACACACAGACAGACCAAAATTTTTGCGTCGAAGGTCGCCGAGAAAGACTATTGTATTTAAAAGGCAGCTACGTCCAAAGATCAATGTAGTATCTGTCAATGCGTGTCATCGGGGTGGAAGTATGGCAACGCATTGTTCTCTAACTTCCCGAAGGATGCAGACGCCGCGCGACGGAGAACGACGCAAATAGGAAACTTACGCATGGGAAAGAAGCCGACGAACACTTCGATAGTTTATTCAAGTCGATTCACTCGTGACGACCTAATTATCCTATGTGAGTACACCATTATTTAGCGTGTGTGCATTTTTATCAATACTCGCAGTTCTCTAAGCGCAAAGTATAGTTTCGTTCATATAAGCAAGCACTTAAGGAAATTTGTTTGCGTTACGTGTGTGAGTGTAATTTTTGCATACGCTTGTTTTATGGGCAAGTCGTAGTGCTACCCATTCCCAAATTAAGCTGCTGTAATTCTTCCCTCGAACATTTTATTTCGTGCATGTGTGTATCTATGCTCCCAAAAACGTGTGCCTGGTCGTGCGTGCGTGCATGTACGTTCCTGCGTATATGTATCATGTGCATTCTTAACGTGCATAGTGTGCGTGAATATATCTGTCTTGAATATCAGCTACTGCCAACGCGGGCGAGCGAGTGTTCGGAAGCATACGACCTTATTCAATAGAAACTGATAACACTGAATCAGCGAACGAAAAAAAAGGAGCACTCCTATTACAATATAAACTACGATATGCCCTAACTCAGTATATACTGGCCCAGGCCCGTTAACTTAGTTCTGTAACATAGTGAAATGCATGCGTATTCTGCTCTATGGGATACATGCAGTCAACAACAGGAGTTGTAGCGTGGTTATCTGGAAAACTGGTACGGCCTTGTATGTAGCAGTGGAGCAACGCAGCGCAGAGGTGCTAACACCTTTCGGACAGGCCCGCTGCACATGAGCAGTTGCTCTCTAATTCAACCTCGGACTTGCTAGACAGGTTCTTCAACTTGAGGTGAATCTGGCCCGGTGCCCTAACAAGGCTCGATCTTTGCGCGCACAGAGCAACTATTTCCGCGGTTTCAGCAGTGAAATTGTTGATATGAGAATGAGGCGGTCCGTGGCCAGCATCCTGTCACCTTTGACAAAGCAACGATCCAAGGCCACAACCAAGAAACTTCAGGGAAAGTTCCGCGTTGACCCTGTTCACATAGAGTTTGTCGAGGAAGGAGAGGCGAGACGGTCGTGACGAGCCCGTGCCGAAATCAAGGCTTTATTCGGGACGCAGGCGTAGGCGGTGTCACCGCTGCTGCATCCAGCCACGTTCCGAAGCTAGGCCGTTCTGAAAATCTCTCGTCGCTCGCGCCACACGAGCCACGCGGCTCGCTTCTTTTTCGGTGCAACCACTTAGCCAAATCTATCGTGGCACTACATAAGCGTAGGCGTAGGCGAGTCCGCCTACGCCTGCCTCTCAAATAAAGCTGTGACCTCGGCACGGGCTTGCCACCGCGGTCTCGCATCTCCTTCCTCGACATATGGTGACCCGGAGAACACGCCCTTCGACGATCCATCGGCTGCCAAGTTCCCGCGACTCTGCACGCAAGTGCCACCATTCCAATCGACCTACCCCAAGGTATGGTTTATGCAGCTCGACGCCGTTCCTGCGGTGAATGGCGTCACGGACCAGCCGCTGATGTACGCCATTCTTCTCGACGCCCTTCTGGTAGAGCTGCGTCATCTCTCCGCCCCTTCAAGCTTCAGCCCGCAGCCGTACGATGACCTCTGCTCTGCGGTGCTGGCCTCCTACGGCCTCGCCTACCGCCCGCTTCTGTTCTCCTCGCGACTTCAACGTTTCCCCTGATCCACAGCGTGTGGTACCCTCCGGCCTGAAACTCTCCAATGACCGGGACCTAATTTCCTCGACTACGTCTCCTACAACCTCTCGTCCGGCCACTGGCGACGCAAGTGCCGCGAACGACTGCCCATCTGACGAGGTTCAGGACATTCGTGCTGCATGCGACCAGTCAGCCACGAAATCCGACGAGGTTCTTCAAGACGCTTCGACCGCCAACGACCAGGCCGACACGAGGTGCATTTTTTTTTCAAGTCCTCGGCCGGTGGTCCCTCAGGCACTCTCACCAGCCACACGTCTTCTCAGACCTCCACAGACCACGACTTCTCGGAGATGTCAGGCTCCACGACGGCAACATCACCGAATGCCCCGGTGTCTACCACGACTACGGACATAGTATTGCCCGCTATTCGCCACTCGGTTCCGGAGACTTCAGCGTCGACGATGTCCGAAGGTGCCTGCCCACCCACCTCGAAGCTCTGTGCGTCATACCAGCAGCGACCATCCTTGCCCTCGCCGTCTCCCACAGCCAAAGTTAAAGTCACAAGCCGTCAACCACAGCCAAACTTCCGAGGCGCTGCGACTATGACTGACGCAGCGGAGGACGACGTACCTGGTGCGCCTATGGCAGAGCAGACCACACATACCACACATGCTGTAGAGGTAGTCATCGATCATACAGACCCAGGCCAACTCTCATGCGCGGACAACCGATTGTCGTTCAACGCGTGCAGGTGTGCCGCCTGATCCTCCAGCAAAGCTCGCGTCTTCTGAGCTTCACAATCATTCCTCAGAGCATTTGACGCCGGACACAGTCCGCCACGCAGGCTCGTTGGTAACAACAGCGACGACGTGCAGTCCAACTGCATATCTGCCGCCCTTTACAGTATGCCGACGAAATCATCACGTTCGGCATAATAGAGAGCGGCCCTTTTTCAACCTTTCTGCTAAACAGCCATGTGTTCCAGCCTTAGCCTTCAAGACTGCAAAAGCACCTAAAAAAGTTTACCCGACGCAATGGCCAACCACTTGCCGTGCACATGACTAATCGCAATGCAAGGCGTTTCCGCATCCGTCGACTCGGCCACCCGCCCCGGCAGGCCGGCCGCATGTGCTACGCGGAGGTCGGTGTTTCATCGACATAGACGTCCGAGCCAGCATGACCGCCCCGCTGCTCCTTGTCGACAGCATGCTCAGCCTCCTGTGCGCTGTCCGAGACCCCACTGCGGCTGGGAAACTTCAGTGCTCGGTCATCATGGGTGCGCTTAGATGCTTCACACTATTTCGCCCACATTGCTGGCGCGAGCTCTTCAGCGCCTGTCTACGGTTCCAGCTGTGAGCACGTTCGTCAGCCGCGTCCACTCGAACCGGCGGGTGCACTTTCAAATGATGCCGCCACGTCGTTGTGATATGCACGTGTCAATGAACGCAGCGACCCGGCGCTTTCATCTTTGCCCACAGCGTTTTTCCCAATGTCACCCGCTGGAGATCCACTGCTTCCCGATGGCTTATACACGTTAACAACTTGAAGTTCCCAAATCGACACTTTACGGATTGTCGTTCATGTATATAGCATTTGTCCCTCCCCTTCTTTTGCACATACGTTTTCAATCGCGCAAAGCGCTAGGGGGGGGGGGGTGGAGCATATGTAGCGCCACGCTAGATTTGGCTAAGAGGCCGCGCCGAAAAAGAAGCGAGCCGCGTGGCTCGTGTAGCGCGAGCCACGAAGTATTTCAGAACGACCTAGCTCCTGGCCTGGCTGGAAGCTGCAGCAGCGACTCCGCCTACGCCTGCGTCTCAAATAAAGCTGTGACCTCGGCACGGGCTCATCGCCGCCGTCTTGCCTCTCCTTCCTCGACAAATCAATATGCTTGTGTAGTGCAGTCATCTTCGTTTTTTATTATTGTCGCCAGCACACGGAGTGTTTCGAAACTCGCGCCGGCTGCTCAAGGCGTAATAGTAGGGAGCGAGCACGTGCCTCTAGACCGGCCGTGGTATAACTCGATCGCCTTTTCATGACAGGTCACAGCTGAGCGAGCTCGCTTTGGGTAGAGTGGTGCTGAATCCACACACATACTTTGCTGTCGAAGCTTAAGGACATGAATCTAAAGCAAATAAAAGCACCAGTTTCCAGCTAACTAGCTACAGAGCGCACGACAGTGACTTGATAGATTCCAGGTGGTGCAGCCTGCGCACAAGCTTCTCCGCAGTGCATGGTTGCTAGCGGCGTTGGAAAACAATGGCGCAACTCTACTACCGAAAGGTAGCATATAGTTACTCAACCCAACGCTAGAGTACATGCTACCTCATGCTGTCTTGCATGCTACATGCTATTTTGCAACTAGAATAAAATACCTACTCAGAGAATAATAAAGTGAAGAATTTCAAGTTGTACTGTTATTTGAACGCAAGAACATAAGCGAGCGCCTACTTGAGAAGCGCAGTGCAGTTTTGATTGCATGCAAATATTTATAGCCGTGATCGCCTTTCGCTTTTAAGTCCCGCGTCGAGTATCACAGCGCAAGGAGACCAATATAAAGCTTGCAAAGAAAGGTCTACATATAGTATTTGCGGTGTGCCTAGGAATTCAAAGGTGGTGGTGGTCAAAACTTGCTTAATAGCTGGACGTTTTTTTTTGCGCAGAAGCTCCGACTAGTCATATCTTTCACGAGGCGTTCTTGACAGACCCATCTCGTGTGAGTCGCATATATTATAAAAACGCCCTCACTGGATTGTAGTCAATGATGAACTCGTTCTTGAAAGTACGATCAAAAGCCGTGTGGTAGAGGCACTGATTATGTGAGATATTGGCGTGAAAAACCATTTACAACATGATCGAAAAAGCTGTCTTTACGCCAGTGGACTCATGAGTCTACTACTCACTTGGGCTCATTCAGACTTTGGTGAAGCAATAAGTTTGAGTCGGAGTAAGCTTGACTGAGCGATATATCGGCGAGTTTGAGTCCGAGTGCGCAAAGTTTTATTGTGTCTGAGTCCGAGTGAGTTCCGCAGAGGAAACTTTCAGTGAATTTAAGTCCGAGTGAGCTGTCACAGCAGAATGTTTTTCTTGAGTAAGCCTGAGTGAGTTCCATCTTTTTTGCCGACTTACGGCTATAGCAAGTTCATTTTAAAAGATGAATGTATCATACAAAGTGTAATAGAAGGGTAATCGTGCACATGTGCTTAGTATACTGTTCTGTGGTGTATTACATCCAGACGCAATGTGGTACTGTACTCTCAATTTCGTTAACTTTCTTTTGTTCGCAACATGTCGAGTTCACCACTGTCAATACAGCGTACTGTCTAACATATCGCTTTGTAAACGGTTAGTCCTGGTTATTCCCATTGTGTTATTTCCGGTTAGAATCTTACGGTGCGTAAAGTATGCATTTTGAATAATAATAATAATAATAATAATAATAATAATAATAATAATAATAATAGCTAGGACTTTAACTCCGAAAATAACGACATGATTTATGAGAGAAGCCATATGAAAGCTCCGGAAATTTTTACCATCTGGTGTTCTTTAACGTGCACTTACATCACACTGGTTTCTAGCATTTCGCCTGCGTCGAAATGCAATCTCCGCAGCCGAGACAGAACCCGCAGCAGACACGATTTTATCGAAGATAATTTCCGTAGGTTCACTTGATTGCGGCGCTAATACATTTCTTGAAAACGGGATCAAAGAGAGAAGACATCCAACGGATCATTTCTGTGCATCTTTCACGAAATGTATGTCATCCTGAAGTTGGGTATTCCTATAGAATCTACACAAATTGTGCTGAAGAAGTTGTATCGCAGGTAACTTAGTCGTGGATTATTCAACGTCAGCCTTTCTGTGGAACTGCATAGCGTATTACTGCAGAAAGACACTAAGTAAAACACATTTCTACACCGATACTGCACGTACAGCATAGGAGTACCTTCGTTTGTTATTTTCAGTGAGCGGGGCTTCCTTTAATTGGGCTTTGGTAGGTCTTTCAATCGTAAATGCGGCTATGGCCCTCGCTTCTCTCCTAATAACAGTTTTAAGGTTAATACTGTTTGGAACACTTGGGATATGGCATTATCAACGGATTTTTTATTACCAATAACAACAGCCTACACACTTGTATTATGTTCAGACAATAGTTGTTAGAACCATTTCTGTGTAACGACAGACGCGAAATACTCAGAAAGTTCATACCGGAAGGTGATGCCACACTCTGTCTGAACATTTATCGTCACACGTAGGAATGGATCCACCTGTCTACGAAGATCGAGAAAAGCTGCCTTTTACAACGGCCTGCATACTAGAGACCCTTCGATGTCATCCCTTTGCACCCGTTGGCATGCCCCACAAGACGACCGGCCAAAACGAAAGTTGGTAAGCGAAAATTTCAAGGTTTATTGCATCAGGTATGTTTGTGCAGGAAAAAAGTTTTCGAGCGAGTCCGTAAGTACACAGCAAAGTGCTCTGTAACCACTTCCCAGAGTCTGTATTGCGTCGAGACTTACTTCAGCACTTCTAGGTTGCCACGAATTATCCGATAACATAGCCTGGAAACTGAATAATTGATGAACTCTACCGAGCAGTGCTTCACCATGACGTCTGAGAAGGTCATCAGTAGAAACCGGATTATAGGCAAATGCCTATTTTGTTTCTTGTGTACCTATGTCGTGCCATTTTGACATATTAGCACGAATTGGGGCGTAGGGAGAGCTTTTAAATGCTTTTATAGTGCCTATAAATGCCTATTTTGGAAGTTGGCACCTAAATCCTTATAAGTGCTTATAAATGCCTCTTTTCGAAATCGGTGCCCATGTAAACGCTATTTAACCTCAAATTTTGCTTTCAAGTACAGCTGGAGTACGGTATTCATGTTACTCGGCAAAATTGTATTTTCGGAACACCGTGGAGTGCACCCTATATGCCATCTCATAAATTGCTTTCAGCACTGTCAGCCTACGAGGCCTTTTACCCAATATGAATGTCGATTAGCCTTCACACGTTTTCACCAGCGTCACGTCGCCTTCTCACATCTTTCCGGCGTCTGCTCGCTTGCGCAGGAAGCAGGAGGCACTTCTGCACAGTGGCAGGACGATTAAGAATGAATGCGAAACCGTGGAGTGTTATCAAGGGAAAGTAAAGTGTAGATAAAAAAATGACATTCATGTCGTTTTTTTGTTTTTTTTTTGCCATTTGCCTCCTAAATGGCGCTTCATTATGTCACGTGAGTGGAAGTTGTTGCGTGGCCAATGAAAAGCTTTGTATGACTGGAATTTTTTAATACGTTCATTACACAAGCTGTGAAAGTATGATGTGCGGGGTCGAGCTTGAAACCTTCGCCACTCACTCGATGTAGACTTCACAAACCAGATTCTTGCCTGCCCTATTTGGTGTCGGAGCAACTGGGAGCTGCAAGATCACACGACGCTGACGTCATGCGCGTAAGGTTACATGCGCATGATATGGCCATGCCAGGACGTGCACGCAGGCGGTGTCCTGTCGTTGCGACGTTCTCCATTTTGTGACGCCTGTTCCTGTGGGATGCATCTATGCGCACACGTTTGAATAGGGTGGCATGCGTCACGTATCCTTACCACGATGCACAGCATCGCACCGCTGGAACTCCTTTAAGAGACGATGCACCAAAAAACACGCCTAGCGTTGTGCATCCTGGCACCAGCACGGTGCTAGAATGACGAGAACATCAACGCAAACGAAATGGAGGCAGCTTAGTCTTGCATCTCGCTCGATGCGAATTTTAGAAAAATAACGCGCATAGAATCTGTCCGTGTGTTTTAATATTTATGTCAACCTTCATACTTCTATTCAGGCAACAGATTGCACAAATTGCGCACGTCGTCTCGAATAGGTCTCGCAGTGTCGCGTACTACTTTGACGTACGCAGGAACATTCCATCACGTCCACCATGTTGGGTCGCATGCCCGTGAGCTGAAGGTCAAGCAGTGCTCAGTCTAACTTGTGTCCTCTTTACGGCGCGAATAGCACAGCAAATCATGGCAGAGTAAATCGTGAGTGCCCAGTGCTTGCATTCCTCTTTGCTTCTCGAAATTTTCAAACCCGCGTAAGGGCCCTTAAGGTACAGGCAGAAGAAAAATTTAGCCTGTGAGGTTTGACCAAGTTATTACGAGGCAAAAAGATCCTTCTGCTCTATTTGGACCTGTGTAGCCCTTCTCAGCCATGCCGAAAAAAGAGATACCAAGAAGCATGCTTATTTAACGGTACTTAAGTGACCACGCTGGACTAGAAATGGAGGGATCGTATTCTGCAAACCCTGTGGCGAAAAAAAAAGCATGTCTACGCTAAACCATCATAAACTGAAGCGTTTTATATGCTTTCTTGTCGTAGACACACATCCCACGCATATTTCTTCAAAATTTGAATTTTATCAAAGTATATTGAGCCTATATTTACGCTTTTTGGAGCATAAAACAGTGTTTTGCCTGCCTATTTTTGGCGCCTAAAACCCTGTTTTTAGTGCCTATAAATCCGGCCTTTAGTTGTAAGCATAAAAAATTATAACAAATAAAAAAACAAATGTTATTCGAAAAATAATCAACATTCCCGGCCACGCAAATTTAAACACATAGTTCAAGTGGGTACAGTCTTTGTATCGGCCTGATCGCAAGGTGACCGCCTTGCAACTTGATCTTGCAAGAACGAATGAGACCGTCTGCACTGCGGTACACTTCCGCGACTCTTGCAAGCTTGCATAGCTGACGTGGCGTGTTGTCCGCATGCACGAGAACGATGTCCCCTTGCTTCAATGCTATATTTGATTTCGTGTTGGCAAAGTGTGCAGATCGTAATTGCAACAGGTATTCTTTTTGCCAACGCTTCCGAAAACTTTCAACCAGCAGCTTCCTGTAGTTGTGTCTGCGTATGGCGTCTGATCGTTTGGAATTACCGTTGACTTCGTCAGCGGTCGCATACGGTATGAAAGTCAACCATCGTCCAAGGAGAAGTTCGCCTGGCGTCGAAGTGCAAGGTTCTCCAGCATCTGTCTCCATGAAAGTCAGAGGCCTAGAGTTTGCGACTGCTTCGACCTCCGCCAGCACTGTCGATATTTCTTCGTAGTTCAGACGAGCTTTGCCGATAATTTTTCGCAGCGGAAGCTTCACTGATCGTACAAGGCGCACCCACCATCCACCCCACCAAGGAGAATTTGGTGCTATAAACTTCCACGAAATGCCGTTGGTGCTGAGGTGACCAGCGACGTCCTCTTCAGAGAACATTCGGTTTAGCCGCTTTATGTCTGCCGATGTCTTGTGAAAGCTTCGTGCGTTGTCAGAATAGATCACCCTAGGTAATCCTCTCCGAGCTGCAAATCGTCGTAGGCACAGCAGGAAAGCCTCGGATGTCATTTCCGCGACAAGCTCGAGATGCACGGCTCTAGATACGGCGCACGGAAAAAGTGCAACGTAGCACTTCGTGTCCCCTTTTTCCGTGCGTGCATACAGAGGGCCCGCGAAGTCGACTCCTACAACATCGAGCGGGTTCGTTGGTGACACTCGATGACTTGTTAACGGAGCAGTCTCAGCACTTCCTGGGCCCGAACTGAAACGCTTGCATATATTGCAGCCATGCAGCCCTCTTTTTACCAAAGAGCGAGCTCGACAAATCCAGTAGCGTTCCCGAAGCTGCGTAAGTGTATCTCTAACTCCTCCATGTAAGACTTGAAGATGGGCTCTGTTTGCCAAAAGTGTCGAAAAGTGGTGGCTTTACGGCATTATGATTGGGTGCTTGACATCTTGTGTGGAATGCATGAGGGATAAACGGCCTCCAACCTGAAGAATTCCGTCTTTGTCTATGTAAGGGCGTAGTTCAGCGATTCGAGATGTAGACTCGACTGGTTGGCCGTTGGTCAAAGTGGTGAGTTCTTCAAGAAAGCCTTGCTCTTGTGTACATCTTACCCAATACTGTTCAGCGTTCAGGATTTCTGTTGCCACAAGATGTCCTGTATGATTACTTCTTTTTCTGCATCGGTCAGTAAATCTGAAAATCCACGCAGTGACTCTGAGTAGGTGCTGAAGCCTGCTGTACCGTTGAATATCAATTATCGGAACTGAGAAGCGTGTCATTAGTGCGACGTCGACTGTTGTAACTTCACCTTGGGTGGCTTCCACTATGTCTAGTCCACTGAACTGTAGGGGCCATTCAGACATCGGTTCAGTTAGCCACTCGGGACCATGCCACCATTTTGAGCTGCACCGCAGTCTTTCAAGCGTCGCGCCACGTGTGAGTAGGTCAGCCGGGTTGTCCGTTCCAGGACAGTATCTCCACTTTGATGGATCTGTAGTGCACCTAATTTCATTGACTCTGTTGGCTACGAACTGTTTCCACTTTTTGACGTCACCTTTTATCCGTGACAACACAATGGCGGAATCTGTCCACATCGTGTAGTCAACTTGAACATTCCTCGAATCGCTTTTCACGTATGCCAACATTCTTGACCCGATTAAGGCAGCCAGCAGCTCCAATCGTGGCAGCGTTGTCTCCTTAATGGGTGCTACACGGGACTTCGCAATCAACAGTATCGGCTCCTCGGGACTTGATACGACGTATATCGCTGTTCCGTATGCCGCTGGACTGGCATCGCAGAAAACATGTACTTGAAGCACTATGGGCTTCCTTGTTCCGCCGCCTAGATAGCGAAGAACGACGACGTCTTGCAGTTGCGGCAGCTGGATGACCCAATCATTCCATTCTTTTTGCAGGTAATTGGGGAGTACTTCATCCCAGCCAATTCCTCGTATCCACAGTCTCTGAAACAATATTCGTATGACAATAGTATATGGTCCTACAAATCCCAACGGGTCAAAAATTCTTGATGCTGACTGCAAGACAAATCGTTTTGTACCCGTCTGTGCTGTAAAAAACCGGAATAGATTTTCAAACGAAAAGTTGAATTGATCCTTTGCAGGATTCCCAACCAAACCCAGGACCTTGACCGACGTTTCGTGAAGAATGACCACCTTATTACTAGTAGATTCCACTTGATTTTCAAGCGTGTGCATCAATTTGCTGAATTTGTTGTCCATTTTCGCAATGTCATGCCAGCCGATTTCATTATTGTGCGCGCTTCTCGGCATAGTTTAGCGGCTCCCTCTTTTGTGTCGGCACCAGTGACTAAGTCATCCACGTAAAACGACTCGGCAAGAGTTTGCGCTGTTTGTGCCATGACAGCCGGTGCTCTTTTCACGTGGTAGAGAATAGTAGCTGTGAGCGAAAATGGGCTACATGTAGCTCCAAAAGGCACTCGTGTCATCCTCCACTCTTGCAGCTCGCCCTTGGATAAATCTCCTTCTGCAAACCAGAGAAAGCGGAAAGCGTCTCTGTCGTCCTCCCGAATCGCAATTTGAAGAAATGCCTTTTCTATGTCCGCGATAACTGCCACCGGGTGCGTTCTGAAGCGTAGCCGAATTTGCACGAGGTCTTGGTATAAGTTGTCACCGTTTTCAAGGCAGTCGTTAAGGGACTTGCATCCTTTGGCATGTGACGAAGCGTCAAACACCACTTTCATTTTCGTCGTCAGTGCCTGTTCAGGCATGACTTCCTTGTGCGGCATGTAATATAATTTCGTCACCTCTGCAGGTACATCACTGACTACTTCGGCGTGTCCTGCCCTCAAGTACTCCCTTATGGTACCGTCATACGTTTCGACCAGTCCTTTCCTGGAGTCGAGACGGTTGACAAGCTTGTCCAGTAGAGTAACGGCTACTTGCCTGTTGCTTCCAAGCTCGCAATTATCCTTCACAGGGAGGGTCACTTCATATCTTCCGTTTATAAAGCTAATCGTGTGCTCAAAATGCCTCATGGTGTTGCTCATTTCAGGTGGCTTGTTTATCGTGTCCGTAATTCCTATGTTTTCAAGTTCCCAAAAGAAGCGCAAAATCTCGTCGGAATCGGTAGCTTGGGCTTTTAGCACGCACACCATCATTTGTTAATTAGTTGGTCGGGACACCAAGTGCGATGTGCTTCCCTGGAAGGTCCATCCAAGCTTGGAGTTCAGTGCGATCAATGATTCGTTGCCTTCGCACCGTGAAACTTCGCCGGTCAACACTTTCCACACCTGATCGGACCCGATAAGTACGCTGATTCCACTCTTAGTTATGATAGATGGATGTTGGAGCTCATCGGCAACATCGTTTCCCAGCTTCTTGAAAGACGCAACGGAGGCTACGTCCATTGCAGTCTCTGCGATGTGTTGGCAGATGCTTCGGATCTTTATTGCAGTTATTTCCTCGTCGGAAAACTGGCTTCGCAGTCGTAGTTCTACTATGCGACGCCTCTTAGTCTCTTGGTCAGATGTATTCGCGAAAGTATTGAAGGCTATTCGAGTTGCTCCCACGCTTTTCAGCTTGAGGTGCTTAGACAGATCTTCAGTTATGAAAGTCCTCTGACTGCCACCATCAAAAACGCCTCGTATGTAGCGGCAGGTGTCATCATTCATGGCCCATGCTCTGAAAGTCTGAAGAAAAATGCAAGCGGTAGAGCCTTCCTTGACGGGTCTTCTTTCAAGTGATGCGCAGACTGTCGTAGTTTTTTCGTAGTTCTTGTTAGCCTAGTCTGACTTCCGCGAACACCTATCGGGATCGCACATGCTTGTAGCGTGTCGAGCTTGGCATCTGGAGCAGGAAATCCTCTTTTTGCAGTCCCATGCCCGATGTCTTTTGGTGGTGCAGCGGAAACACCTTTTGTCGTTGGAAAGTAGTTTCTTCTTCTGCGTCAGTGACAAGTCAGCTGTGCAGGCTTCCGATCCGTGATGTCTGGACGAGCAGAATACGCAGTTGTCCCTTTTTTCTCGTACCGAGTTGCTGTGAAGCACAGATGACGTCGGTTTCCCACGCTGAGAGTACGTCGACTGATTGGCCACGGGGAGTGTTCCATGTCCTCGTCCTTTGGCATCTTTAAAATCACTCTTCTCCCGGTTTCCAGCTCAATACACAGGAAGTTGAGCACACGGTCCAGTCCCACGGGTGTAGCTTCAGCTCTCGAGTCATATGCCAACTGGACGGCACATGATCGATGATACTGCATGACTATATCCCGTGTAAGAGCACGCAGTACGATGTCGCAGAGCATTGACGAAAATGACGACTTGTGCGCACCCAAAGTCTCTAAGCCTCGGATATTCACGAGAACTTGGTCGTACAAGCTGCGTAGCGCTTTGGTGTCCGTCGATGAACGAACAGGGCTTAACATCCGTAGCTTGGCAAAATATTCTTGCTCCAGGCGCATCTTGTCCCCAAATCGCTTCTGTAGCATTTTGAGAGCGTCACTGTAGCAACTTTCTGTCGTCGGAAGGCCCACAATTACTGATGCAGGGTCTCCTTTAAGATACAGTCGCAGGTAATGAAACTTCTCTGTGGCAGTGATGTGATTGTTACTATGAACAATTTGGTAAAATTGTTCCCAAAATTCAGTTCACTTGCGTAGGTCTCCAAAAAAAAGGAGCTATTGTTAGTTTAGGCAATTTAACTCCAGTTCCGTCTGATGGTGCTGCGACTGTCTGGGCAACTGTTTCTTGAGTTCCGGTCGATGTCCTTAGCATGCGATCTTTCTTGCTGAGAATCTCTGCGAGAATCCGCGTAGCACTGTCCTCGTATTGTAAGACAGCGTTATACTCGACTTCGAACTCCTCGTCAGGTATATGCGGCTCAATCTCGTTGTTCAGGTTTTTAAGCTTTTCGTTATTAGCCTTCAGCCTCTCATATATGGAGTTCAGCTGGTCATAGGAGGCAGAGTCGTTAGCGAGGAGCTCACTTGCCTCGTTTAGAATCATCGTGTTCCGTGCTCGCCGCGACGTCCGCTTCGACTTCAGTCGCTCCATGCCGCTGCAGTTGACTGGAAGCCGTCCGTAGGGTCCTGGTTTTCAATCCCGGTTCTTCGGCGCCAATTATTAAGACGATGGCGTTCCAGACACTGCGATCAGAGTTAACTCCGTCTTCAAGGTATAAGGCAAAAATATACTTGTTGATTTAACTGCGCTCAGAAGCGCTCTGCTGTCACTTCTCTTGTCTTGTCTCCTAGAAGATCTTGGCTCATACCCACATGGGGGATTGGCCACACTGTACCTCATAATAGATCATTTTTTACAACGCTTGCTAAAAAATAAATAGAAATTAGATAGGAACAATATTAATGTTCCTTTGAAAAAACGTGAAAAATTGCAGAAGAATGCGATAAACCACTTGTCACTTGAACCACTGTCACTTGAGCGTCCCCGCGTCCCTCGCTCGCGCTCTTCTTCTTCCTCGTTTCCTTGTCCCAGCCCAGAACGTGAAAAATAATCAACACTATAACAAATAAAAAACAAATGTTATTTGTATTTGAAAAAAAGTCAACAATGGTAGTTGCTCTTTGTCCTCCGACTACTGCTCTGCGTCAACAATGTTGAATGGATAAGTATGCTAAAACACAGGAGACCCACAGGACTAGTTTCTGCCCTCTCTCCGTGTTCTTAAACAGTACAAGCATTCTCTATAGTAGTACCAGGGTAATCGATACAACAGTTGGATCATCACTGGCCAGAAGTAGAAAGAGAGGGAGAAATTCAATGGGGAAAGGCATGGAGGTTAAATGTATAATATCGCGGTTTCACTACACTGCGCTGTGGAAGGCGCGAGGGGAGACATAAACGTAAGGACGATAAGAATTGGAGGGGAAAGGATATGAATGGAATCAAGCACACGCACACGGCAATTTCACAATCGTTCAACAAGGTGGGTAGCTCATATTAACATCAGTAGCGCCTTAGTCACTTTCTAATGCGAAGCTCGCGTCTTCCGGCCTCCAAAATGAATTGCAGAAAGTGTGACAGTGAGGACCTAGGAAACCCGAATGTTTGCAAAAAGTGTGCTTCTAATAGTGCTCGTGGTCACCGTGTTATGTAAACTTCGAATTATAACATTCTTGAAACCTCGCAGGAACGCAGCCCATACCCAAGGACACGAACGTATTGTTCAACATCTACAGGGTGAATCACGACCCAAACTTATGGGAGGAACCGGAGAAGTACCGGCCTGATCGCTTTCTGGACACTGTCACTGGAAAACTACGTCAGGGCGCCGGACCACTCGTCAGCTTTGGCCTGGGTACAAGGGCCTGTCCAGGAGAAAAGCTCGCACACGTGAACATATTCTATATCATCGTCCGATTCATGCAGAGGCTCACCTGTAGTGCAGTTGATGACGCTTCCAGCGTGGAATTGAAAAGCATTGGCTCGTCCCTCTTTTTCCTACCACTTCAACGTAACATCGTTCTCACAAGAATAAACTGAGACTGGAAGCGCCAAGTTGAAGGAGCGCCAATGCTAAACAGGGCCCATAGCAAAGGCGCAAAGTCAAAAGGTGCTCATAAGGCAATGTAAGTAAACGTGTGTTGTAATCAACTGCTCCGAACAGTAGGGCCGACGCGTACATTCGTGTGAAGATATTTACACCGTTAACCCCCATGTGTTCGTATCATAGTCTCTTGAAGACAGTGACTAGTGTTGTAAGAGTCTACCCGTTGAAATGAGCGGTCAATAATACGCAGACCGCTAGCTCAAGTCACACACGGCACACAAAGAGTTACTTAAAAAGTTTCATAAAGCGCGTAATACACCGTTTATCAGGAACCATCCGTGTGCGAAGTTTACACTTACCCCCCGCCCTTATTTTTTAGGGGCGAAGCTTCTTAAGGCATGGACTGTGCGTCTCCTGTATGTAGTCACCTCTCGTTTAGTTCTTGCAGTGTTCACTAGATGGCAGTACTTGTAGCTGCTGATGAAAGATGCGAGTGTTAAAAAATAGGAATGATGTCACATATGGTGCGTGTCATTGGTGGAAGGCAATCGTTCGATTTAGTGCGGCGACGTACGCTAGGGGAGCGTTGTAATAAAATCGAGTGGGCAAAATGTACGGAGGATTCACGGTTTACCAGGTTTACCTCCGGAGCTTCGCCCACTCATTATTATTTTCTTCGTGGATATGGCGGCACTTTTTTTTCTTTACACCAATTCCTTCCTCTTTCCTACCTGAAAGCAAAAAAAGTCAAAAGTTTTCTTGCAATACAAGTCTTACGCAGAAATGTAGGACGAAATGTGTAGTCGTGCACTAATATACGCGACATTTTTTGGTTCTTTGGCATAAATTTTAGTGTAATGCATGCAATATATGTAACGAAGCTTATCTTACAAAGATCTAGGACCACATGCCATTCTTCTCTACACGTTGTTGCAGGGACAACTCAAGTATTATGCGCCACCTATTACCCGAGGTAGGGTAACGAGGTTCAATCACATTTTATACACGGCACTGTTTAGACTGAGAACTAGCCCTTCTACAGAAGCTGGTCGCGTTACGCACAGCTCTCACACGTCAGAACCTTCTGGACAAACCTGCGCACCTTGCGATCTCAGTTTTTCTCGTTTTAAAGAGTGCCACGATGTCCATCTATTAGCGTTCACATAGTCACTGTCCTGTTTGTGTCTACCACGCCTACGCCGGTACCGGTCCCATTTCCACAGGAGGTGACTGTACTGTTGCCGCCCGCAGCAGTCCGGTGTAGTGAGAGAATAAGCCTATGAACTCTCTTTCCAGTGCACGTCTAGCACTGTAGGGGCCGGAACAAGCGGGTAACAACGCTCTGATTGAGCCTGGCTTGGCGCCACCAATGCAGAAGGCGCGCAGAGAGCAGGGATGAGCAAAGTCGGCGTTGACGCGACTAGCGGAAACACCTCAGCAGCACGCAGATTAGGGAACCACCTCCAGAATCATGGCCGACACGATCAGCGTATGCACCTCCGGTGGACACAGACAAGAAACACTATCCCGGAAATCATCCCCGTTCAGAAGGCTCACAGCCAGAGCAGGAGCAGCCTTCATGCAGGAACGGGGGCAGCAGGCACCACCGACGTATGGATAGCTGAGACGCAAGCAGGCAACGAATGGTCGGCAGCAGTAGACTCGATCGGAACTGCCACCCTCTCTGTAGAGGTACTCCCAGTCGAAGCAGGTAGAGTCCGGGTATGCCCAACACGACTGGAGCAGGCACACCAGGAGCAAGGCCAGCTGAGACGGCGACAGGTGCAGCACAAGCGAGCACGCTCTCAGTCCGAGCAGGGATCGTCACTGCATGTGAAGTTCCGCAGACCTCGGAGGGACCGATGGCACATCAGGGTTGGTAGCATAACGTTGTAGCAGTATCGGTCGAGGAGGACCGACGCCGCGGCGTTGGTGCTCGCGTTGCGTAATCGAGTCGGCCTGCAGAGCAGCCAGCTGCTGAAACGCGCGGTCAACGCGCTCCTTTTTCCTGTCATGTTCCAACGCTGCCTGGACTGTGAAAGCGTCCCCACTCTGAACGAATGACCTAAGCAGGTCGGGGTCACGCAGGCCATGCAAGATCTGGTCCTGCACCATTGTCTCTGCTGCGGTGCCGAAATTGCAGTCGTTGGCCAACCACCACAGCGCTAGAATGAATTGTACGAGAGTCTCGCCCGGTTCTTGAACTTTCCTCCGGAATCAGGCCCGTACGCATAAAGCGTCTTCTGGCGGCGCGAAGTATGCGCCCAGAACGGCTATGATCTACTGGTACGCATTGCATGTTGCGCCATCTCCTGTAGCCTGGACCCCTTCAGGCAGCGTCTGCTCCTCAGCAGCTTTATAGTATGCTTGCAATCCCTCCACTCCAAGCGCGTTGAGCAGCAACGCCTTCTTCGTGTCTGGCGTAGCATCCGTGGCCACCGCGTCGGCGTACACTTGCAAGACGCGACGACAAGTCTACCAGGAATCGGAGGCACGCCAGGGCACTGCAGGAACGGAGGTGGTGAAATTTCGGGGAACATGCTGCTTCCGAGACAGACCGGATACGGAGGAAATAAATGTGGGACCGCCCCACGTGTAAATGTATCCAGTCCAGGTGGTCATGAACTGGTGATCCGCAGTATCGGTGGGCTGTATCCAGAGCGCTGAACATGGTAGCACTAGAAACTAATGGTCGTACGCACACCTTGGTCGGATGCACGCGGATTCCATCCTCGTCGCCAAAATGTAGTATCGTGCGGCGGACGGGACGGCCCTGAAGCGCCGGCCGACACAAGGTACGCAGCAGCCGGTAGCCAAGCAGGAAATCTCTTTTATATACACAAGCATCACTATATAAACATATGTACAACGCCCCCTGCGGGCCAGCCAACCGGTTCCAAAACCGGAACTGAAACCCTGGTACCACAAACACTCATAATGTTCCTTTAAAAAAGGTAAAAAGGGCAAAACAATTAGATAAACCAGAATATATAAAAAGTTAGCAAAAGCGGAAAAAGGGGGACAAAGAATTGAATTCATCTGGCGGTACCACTAGCAGCGTATCCTTCCGGTTGCCTGAATGAATTTATGTAGCGCTGACAAAAAAGCACTGCGGCCCGCACCCAACTGACTGGCTCCGAACGACAAAAGGGTGGATGCATTAACTGCCAATCGCAGCATACCAATCGTTATCTCTAGTATTATTCGGCGGAGTGAGACGAAACTGCGCCATGTGAGAAGGAAGTGACCTGTTGATCCCGGTTCATCGCAAACTTCCATGTTTCTTCTTCTGGTCTCGTGGCAGTCCCCTGCCACACGTGCGATAATAATAGTGATGATGATGATGCCTTTAGCTTGGCTCATACCCCCTCAGAGGGATCGGAGAAGAATTTATTGTATGAATTCAGCAGGCCCTCCAAGTATTACATATTCATAAAAAAGAACTTACTTGAAAACAAAAAGAGTGTACTATTTGTTTTACGAATAAAAGCAGACAGTATATTTTTATCTTGAATACAAATTACAGTAATAGGACCACAAAGGTCGTTTCATAGCCTTGTCTTTCTTCATCTACTGCCTATAGGCACGTATCTGTCAGAGGTCAGCCCTTAAAAGCACCAACAGGAGTGTTGCGTGTCTAACTGGTCGATGCACCGTGGTCACGAACTGGTCGATGCACGCACAGCAGCACGTTTGTAGCACGCTCGTCACGACATGTGTGGACCTTAAAACCTATTCTTCTCCGTGCATTGGCCCAGATTTCACAAACCACAAATAGTATTTGTTCAATCGTTACTTGAGCCTCTAAATGTACAAGTTCGTGATCTGATTCCTTTAACTGAGCAACAAATTTCTCCAGAAATTGTTTACCATGATATCTTCCCAACTCACGCTATACTATTACCTACAGACATTTTAAATGGTTTATTGCAGGAAAGCTTATGTAATCTGCCAACAAATGTCATTATAGCAACGGACGCATCTCAATCAGATGAAAAATCAGGCGTTCGAACATATTACCCCGTATTTGATTGGTCATTTTCACTTCGCTTACCAGATTATCTTCCTGTCTTTCTGGCTGAATTTATGGCAATAATGTTAGCTTTGCGAAAGTTAAATATTTCCATTCCAGTCGTAGCAGTCATAACTGATTCATTATCAGTGTGCTCTTCTCTGTCTGCATCCGGTCGTTCACCCATACTGAAACTTTTTAAATTATTGGTTCCCTGTCATCTCCGAAGCATTCATTTAATCTGGGCACCAGGGCACAAAGGTTTGTTGTTAAACAAAATTGCTTATTCTCTTGCGAATGCACTGTCGCTTTCGACACCCATCATTCCTATTTTTCTTCATACAGTACACATTACGGTGGCGCGATTTCGCACACTTAAAATCAGGCAAAATTTATCAGACCGTGCACTGATGGCTTCTCCCGAGTACAACCACTTGTTATTTTCCTGGCGCAGTGAACTGTCTAATTCAAGGATGATGGAAGTTGTCAACACGAAATTTCGTTGCCGCGTTACTTCCCTCAATTTTTACTTGCATAGATCAGGTATATTGAATTCCCCTATGTGCATTTATTGTAATCAAGAGGAAACGGTAAATCATTTTTATTACATTGTCGCCGTTTCGATTTATTCAGGCAAAGCATACTAGCACCACCTCTTCAAAGACTGGGCTCGCAATTATCACAACCTGATCTTCTTTAATTTGGAGCCTCTACACTGCGTTTCAGCCACAGGGATGTTTTATTCGCCGTTCAGGAATACATCACTGCGACTAAACGATTTTCTTGCTAAATTACGGTCCCACTATTTGTCTTTATTTCTTTCTGCAAACTTAATATCGGCATTTCAAATCAAAGTTAAATTACAAAATTTTTGTAGGAATGACGCAATGCTGAATGTATAGGGTAAATTCATTTTATTATCAGCCAATCCCCTCCTTTGGGTACGAGTCATCTGAAAACAACAACAACAACAAACACGGCGACCGACGTAAAATCTGTCAGCCTGGTCTCGTAATAATGCTGCAGCAATCAACAGCTGAAAATCAAAGGCCGTATAATAGTATTAATAAACACTGGAGACGGGAAGTCTTG